AAACTCGTTAATTACTGTTCAGAGCAGCTTGTGATTGCTATGCGAGCTAACGTACTCGCTAACAATATCATCCCTTGGACATAATACTATACCGGGTGGTAAAGTGCTAAATCTGAATTTACTACGAGCAAACTAGTTTTCCGTGCGATTTTACTTGAATATCGAAAAGTCACGTGGCCTCGAAAACTTTCTAGGGACATTTTGAACGTTCCGTGTATATGAGCTATGGCTCGGTTGTTCAGCGAAGTATCAACGTAACGGTTAACTATTTATGTCGGAGATTACAAAATTTTACGTGAAACTTTATCACGCTGCCAAATGCCTCTCGGGTAATATTTCACGAAATAACAGAGAGCATAATTCGTACCGATTGAATATCAATGGAGCGAATATTCACGGTTCTCGACGGAGCCGTTCTGGAATCCCGCCATATTCTAGGAAAATATACTGCAAAGTGACTTCGGCTCAGATATATATTTATTGCCCAGTCGTTATCTCACATAAAGTGATACGATTTCAAAGAGCTTATCGCTAACGTATATACATACATTATTATATCAAAAACAGTCTGGATCACCGTTTCTCGCCAATTGGCATCCCTCCTACCTTCTATCTGCCAACGACTTCTGACAGTCAAGTCCCACGGTCGAGAAACAACCCTAGGCTCAACTGTCACATGCAGCGTCTGTCATCTACCACCCCTACGATTCAATCGTTTCGCGCAAACCTGTACGCACGACGTCCCACGAAAAGTATTTTCTACCATTTGGTTGGTCGAGTGGTAAAAAATTTTTTTCGTGCCAAAAACATTTTTTTCCTAAATTCATCTCAAAAAATAAATTTTTGGAAATTTTTTTTTCCAAAAAATAAAGTACGATTTCAAATTCAGCAAACTTAAATGACTTATTGATAAGGTATGACAATACTTCTCTATACAGTATACATATATATAACGCCTCGGGATGTAAATACGTATTGGCTACGGGTGACTGCCGTGATAAGGACCTGCCATAACCATGAAACTAGAGAAGCAACCCTGCAAACTACTGTATGGCCGCCGGGTCTGCTGTCGATGACGTGATACAGCATTGTCTAACGTGGAGTTGACATCCCCAAAAGCAAGTGGACCAAATTAAATTTTACATGTGATCAAAACCGTTCTCAAGAATAAAGACCGAAAAAAATGATTATTGACCAACCCTTGTTTAAAATCTACACCCCTACAAAATACATACAACACGTAAACCCTTGATCAAGAGCCACACAAATTACCCGTGTAAAAAAAAAGTGTATCAATATTTTCCGCAACGTCCCACCAGCTGTACGAATGATCTATAGATAATTTACGTGGATCGATAAAAATTATTATACGACATTCTCCTCCATTGATTATCACGCGTAAGTCACTCCGAGCCACGTGACTTAAATGGTAGGCCGAATACGTAAATTAATGGCCGCCCGTTATCCCCAGAGTCTCAGCAGCCGCAGGTTGGGGTAGTTGCGGTCAATTAGTATCGCGTGGACACACGGCGCTGGCTAGTGCATATAGAGATGGGATGAGAGCAGACTGAGTAAACAGCTCCTGCCAACGATTCATGAACCGAAGCATGTCTGCGGGTGCGCGACCACGTTCGTTTGAGTTTCGATTCCCTGGGATCCGCACAGCCTCCGACGGTCCCTGATTATTTATCGAACCGACGGCAGTCGACGCCAATTTATCAAAAATGAGCAATACCGATCTGTAAAAACACAAGGAGCCCAATAGTCCAAAAGACAAATAATAACAATAATACGAATTTGATAAAATTTTTTTTTCAATTTTTAATGATTTTTTTTAAATCCAAAAACAACGTCAATTAACGTCCTCGGCAATGAAATCTCTTGTAGGGTATGTAAAAAATGTATTAGCGTTCGAGGGAGGGACCCTTTTGACAAAATCTACCAGCGAGAAAAGCCAAAGTGAGCCGTAGCCATTACAGGGGCTATCGATGCGTGCGTAACGCGGATGAGGAATCATGTAGCGTGAGAAGAAAAGTGTGACGACATAGGACGATGGACCAATATGGTGGATGTATTCGAAATAGGGGATGGAGGGGTTGTTACCCGTCGGTGCCGAAGGTCTGGATTTTCGTACATGCGTATAAAGTTGTGAGGGGCTGGTTCGTCCAGGCTGACTCTTGGATAGTGTATTCTGGAGATATATGTACATACGATATACCGTACAGCAGGGTGGCGAAACTGTACGAGACATCTAGAAAGCAAGTAGTCTCAAAGAATTAGCTACCCTCGCGTGCGTGAGCAACGAGCTGCTATTCGAATCGTGTTCAACCCCAACCCGTGTCTGGTACGTGCTCGCAATCCCACGATAGGACACATTTCGAAATGCATCCAGTAGCAACCCCCTTTCTTGCAGCCCTTAGTCCTTCGTAGCTTTAGGATGCCTGAAACAACCCTTTTGAAAAGTGTCTTTCGCTTCGGAATACGTCGTCTTTGCGTATGGGGACTTTTTTGCTTTTGCAGTTTTAAATGCATTTGGGGGGGGGGGGTTATGGGTCTTTTTCAAGTTTTCTTATTGAACCCTGTGGAGCGTAGGGGTGGTTTTTTTTAAAATCGTCACTCGAGGGTGAATTTTCGTGATCATGGGCGCACGTGAATATGGTGAGATTTGCAATTTTTTTTTTTTCGTCTGAAAATGGCACGTGCGAATTTTTTTTTTGGGAATTTTATAAGATGGAAATGGTATACGGTGATTTTGCGCATTACGGTAAATTGGTTTGGGTCGATATTTAGTGGCGAACTCAATTGTTTGGGGATGCTGGGTAAATAAATGCATTTGGCAAAGTTATGTAACGAGATCGTGAGATTTTTTTATTTCAGTCCTCAGTTTACTCCCATTTGCCAACTTCTCTAATTACGTAGATCGGTCGGGTCCGTGTGACTTCTGTAAATTCCAATTCCAGTGACGTTGGTCACGAATGCAGGTAGTTCGCTGCAGAGTGAATTTATCCGTAATTCGCGCGAAATCTCATTTACGATTCGTTCTCATTTCCGACGTGAAATTAAAAAAAAAAAGGGTACGCCAAAAAAACAAAACACGTTTCCTTACTTTATTCCTCAAGAAAAACAGAATTTCTCACTGAGGTTTGAAAGCAGGAAATTAAAATGCAATTTAGGCGAAAAATTTCGAGACGCTGGCATTTTTGCAAATTCATCTAACGCGAAATCCCACTTTCGCGATATCCAACGACCGCGTTACGTAACATCGGAAAAGATGAAAGGATTATGAATTCCGTCGCGATAATGAATAAAAACAGGGGAAAAAAGATAACTGAATGGGAAGCCGTAATGGATCCACGAGACCAAAAACAGGGCAGAACTGGAACTGTCATTTCCCGTTAACTCAGTGCATAAAAATACAAGAAAAAAAAAGACATTGTTCGAATCGTACAATTGCATGGCTGAAATATTAATAAAGGATCTTTTAATTAAAATGTAAATCGCTACCATGGAAAATGTAATCTCATATAAAAAAAAAGAGCCTTATGCATTCTATATATATACACTATACGCAGTGACGATCAAATAGAAAAAAATGCATTGCAGAGTAAAAAAATAATTCGAAAAATTTAATTTCAAAATTTTTCTAATCCTCCAAATGAAAATTTATCATTCTTCCAAAAGTGCGATACACGACCGATTAAAAAAATCTTATCTCGATTAAAGTCCCGAACCAATTACGTTATGTCGGAATGATTCAAAATTGGCGCCATATAGAATTTCGGTTAAAAAAGAACGAATGAAACAATCATACTTGTATAATGAATAAAATGAAAAAATTCATACTTGTTATATATATTCATTAAATTTTGGCATATTTTTTAAAATTATTCCAGATCACGCTTAATACATATATTTGCTACTCGCTGGATACTGTACGACGGGGCTTTATTTATTGCATTTAAAAGCAGTCGTACGTCAATTAAGGCACCTCATTACTCGGGCCAGTGGTTGGGGACGCAACCCTTGCCTCGGCTTAGAGGGTTCAACTGTTAGAGGGTTGAAGGGAGTCTGCGCACGTAGTTCGAAATCTCTTCGAGCATGTAATTCGTATGGACGTTGTCCAAACGCCTCCGTCGTCCGTTTGCAATTCCGATTTCCCAAACGTGCTCTAGGTAGGTTATGTTAGTTTTGGTCACATCAGCTTAGGTTGGTTAAGATACGTACAAAGGAACAAACAAAAAAATTGACAAAATAGTGTAAATTTGAGAATTTTCCCAGAAACGTCAGAAAATGGATACTCTGGTTATTTTTAAAAATAAAAATTTTATTCTACCAAAAGAACTTCCTTATCGGCTGAACTTAATATTTACAATTTGCAATTCGGTAATTAACAACTACCGCCGTGTAAAATCGCACCGATCCATATTGTTATTAACAAATTAATAAATTTTCCAATGCACGTCCCATCTTAAGGACTCTTCAATAATCATTTAAGACCTGCTGAATAAATGATTGAAGAAAAAAAAAATATTTTGAAAAAAATTCATGTTCAAAATTTCACTTACACTGGCAACGAAAAAAAAGAATTAATTTGAATACGAAAAAAAATTGCTACCAAAACCCCATATACTTCTTGGCTCAAAAATGATACCCGTAACTCTTTGCTTAGTCCCTTTTGTACTCAATTTTGTTCTCCTTCTCATTGTAAAAACAAGCCGGAACATTAATGCGAGTATCACGAAACTTCTTGCGCAACCTTCTGTTTCTTTTTCCTCATAGCTTTCTTAACGAGCGCCCAACCAAAAGGTGCGTGTATAATTACCAGAAATAAATGGCACGGACTTGCCAAGAGGGTTTAAACTTTTCAAGTATCCAAGAATACGTAATTCCAACCTACACGGAAGTCCAACTGAATCCACAGAAAAATAATTATTCAACATCAAATAAATTTTACTGACCCACCCCCCGGTCTTGCTTTGCGATAGAAAAAAAAAACTCACCTGGTACAAGTTAAAATGTACCTTCATCCTTCCATTACTAAATTTCTTCAGCGACGTTCGACTTACAAAAGAGTCGGCACGACTTCCTGGGATTCTTTGCTGTATTTATTTCCAGTCTAAATCAACTTCCCATTCCCGTCCCCGACACGCACACGCAATCCAATACCATTCCGTTTGGTCCATCGACAATGATGACCAAACCACGTGAGGCACTGTTGAATCTAAAAAAAAAAAAATGTTACCAACGTTATTGTCAAATTCTATAAATTTAGACAAAAAAAAATATTTATGAAATAAAAAAAAAATCTCCATAACTCAAATCGTCTAAAGTCCAGTTACGCATATACAACGATAACGTTACCTATAACATACATATAATACGTAACTGCAGTACAGTATACGTATAACGAGTAACTGCAGTATGATACGTGCATACTATGCGAAATTGCAGAAAATAATTGTATCATGAAAAAATAAAGAAAAAAAGGAATGATTTTATTCGTAAGGTGTAACAAACAGCTGGCAGGTGGCCTGAAATGGTATAAAATGGCCCTGAAGTTCGATGAAGTTTCCCCAAAAAATTTTAATTAAACCTCTCGGCCAGGGCGTCGGAGCCTCCTGCCGGGTTCGAAATGAGGAATCCCCGTGGGGCACCTTATATTGGTCACGCGAAAACCAGGACAAACTGTTATTATATCACCTATCCCGTACACGCATTCTCACGTGCATCCCTTAGTAAATACCAGGAGACTCGCAGCCATAGTCAGAGGCTTTATTACCCTTATTATGAGAATCCTCATTTTTATTTGATACAGTCACACTCCCCTTCCTGTCCCTCCCCACTATGCTCCTGGTCTACGAACCCTCGACTGCATCCTACTCTGACGAACCCTTACTGACTTCATCGTCCACCCTATATAATGGGTAGAAACGTACTACACAAATAATACACCGGGTGGACATTAAACATGGAATGGTCTGATGATGAATATAATTTTTTGTAAAAAAAATAACTTCTCATTGACACTGCGAATTATATTGCGCAATATTATTTTTAGGGTTGATCCAAAAAAAAAATATTTTTTTTAATACATTTTCCAATTTATGATAAGGGTGAACAAATTGAACAGGTATTAAATTTTTATAGGGATGAATGAGTATATTTAATGGGTGAAAGAAATCGCGAGGTATGAACTTTGGGATAATAAATCGAATGGAAGAAAATGGCGGACAGCCAGTATACCGGGGGGGTAGCACAGGGAACTTGGTGACGTTGAGTGGCCTAATCCGCGTTAGTCACAGACTGTGGAATACCAGTATATATATACATATATCCCAAGATAATGGTCGTGCTAATAATATTGAAAAAAATGCACAATTCCAGTTAAAACCGAACAATAAAAATCCATCCGTTTTATTTTACAGCTCTTTGTGCGCGCCCTTCGACCATCCATCCAGCATTCCAGAATCCGCGCGGATGAGATTTGATAAAGGCAGGTCGCTGGAAATTCCAAACGAATAACTCGCGAGAATATTTTTCCCGAGAGCGAAGTGCGGGGTAGTCGTGAGAGATCGAAGTGGTGGTAGAAGACTTAACTTTTGTAAGGGGAAAAAAAAAATTCAAAATATAAAAAATTTTTCAAAAAAAAAAAAAAAATTCCTACCAACTGCACTCTTTCGCCCCGGTGCATCCCGTATGCATTTTTAAACCATACACGGACATTCATCCAGTCGGTAAGAAACTCGAGCCGGCACAACTATAGCAATATGTTTGCTCTGCATTATTCATCCTGGGCTAATTATTAAAACATGTAAACACCCCGGGGGCTTGGCCCAATGCAGAGGGGGTGAAAAGCCCTGGAGTCAACAGGAGATGAAGAGGGGTGACCTAGTATAGGGAGAACCAGATGTAGGAAGTAGGGGGGGAGTGAGGGGGGGGCACGAGTGGATGTTGACCTATGAAAATTCATTGTACCTCCAAGAGCGCCGGCAACACAAGAAAGAAACTTGAGCAGCTTACAAACTCGGATTCCCATGTCTGGCCCAGTTTAACCAACCAAATAAAAAATCTTCCGACAGATCGTATCTTTCAGGTCCTGTCGACGCCAGAGAGAACATCTAACGTCATAAATATTAGGTAAAATCATCGTATGCAAGTTGCGTGGCAGGAGTCGTCGTTTGTCTTGAACGAACAACCCTTAACTCGAAAGGAGATGATTTTATGAAATCCATCTTTTCCCTTATCACTTTGTCAGTCGACGGTATCTCAAAAATGAATTTTTTATAGTGAAAAAAATTTTGAAATTCTTTTTCAAAATTCTTACCAGCCCATTAGCATTGTATCCTCGTATCTCGATCTGGGTAGAGGAGAGTACTCGTCCCAATTTGTTTCCCGGACGGAAGGAAAACCCTGATTGCCATCTACGAGACATGGCTTCCCTTTTACCGGAAGCCAGAAGCAATACGGAACAAATGGCAAAGTCCCTATACACGTTTCCTGCCAAGATTAGTCCTTGGCAGTAAGGACCGGTGTTGGAGCAAAAAATTTAATTGGCCGGTACCTGTGCATGTTCTAATTGAGGTGACCTTTTTTTTGTTGGAAATTTTGAATTTTTAAAATTTTTTAAATTTTATCAAAAAATATGAAATTCAGGAAAAAATCGATATCTGGTTACCTACCGTCGAAAAATGTGCTTCTCTAACCTATTTTTACGTATTTTTCTTTTTTTCTTTTATTAAACCGTGAAATCGAGGTAAAACGTATGACGTGCGTCAGTGACAGCTAAACGTGCCGCATGCAAGCGCGTGGGACAACCGTTTTATTAAATCGATGGTAGCCATTATTTTTGACATTTCCCAACGCCGCAACTAGATATACATTCTTAATATATCTGACATCCTAATATATATATATAAATTTGGAAGCACGCTATATGAAGTCACTATATACAAAATTTGGTTTTCAAAAAATCATTCGAATCGTCTGCTGACAGTAAAGTAATAAACTAACCTAACCTAACACATATGAATGTATCAATAAATCACACTGTCAATGTGTGGTTAAAATTGCATTAAAAAAGAAAATATTAAATTTTTGGTACCCGGCCAAATTTTCCCTATTTTTTTTTTATCCATATTCATTTCCTCACCCGACTTTCCGCTCTCTACGGGGTGTAAGTGCGGGTTTGAAATGACGTGTATATGGGGGACTGGGGATCGGGCATAGCGCGGTCCCCTTTTATGAGCACTTTAAAGCCGGCGCTAAGCGGAGCATCAAGCCGGCAACCTTATGGAAGGACGCCTCTTAACAATGAGGAGGATCCATTCGTTCGGACAGCAGGCGAACAGAGCCAGAATATCCATAAACAATCGTTCCCCCCGTAGTGCGCCAAGCATATTACTCATTATTGGAGAAAAGAGGGGCACGGGAAAAAAATAAGCGAAGGAGGGTGAAACGTGGAATCCTGGCAAGCGGAACGATTTTGGCTGAAAATGGAAAAAAAAAATTATCCAAAAAACCGCAACAGACTTTCTGAGCACGGCAAGGGGGTATCCGTACCCCAACTGTTGCCAAAAATATTTTTTAAAAATAAAAATTCTTTTATCCTCACCTCAAAATATTTGACCTAATTACGTCTAGAGATTTATTTTTCACTATCGTCCCTCCAGACCATGGACCACGTAGAATTAACTTTCCACGGGGTACACTGACGCGGCAGGTATACCTGGAAGGACCAAATCGGCTAATTAAAGGGACTAATTGAAAGGGGACGATAATTGTTATCAAGCGGTGCCGGGCGTTTGGACTCATAGCGGTAATTTCTAGGTACACGGAAGCCCACTTCCCGCGAACATCTGCTCCTTAGCTCAGCGAAGCGCCATCGAAATCCAGCCTGTCACTCCAGACCCGGTTCCAGAGGCAAATAGCAATAAGAAAAAATACCATATCAATCAACAATTAACACAGTATAAAAAACCTTACCCTGCATACAGTAATTTGAAAATAAAAAATTTTTATAAATAAATTTTTTTTTTCCCTCCAAGACATCGGTTACTGAATTTGTATTCCGTCAGAAACGTATAACATTACATTGCCCTAAAGCTACTATACGTACGAGTAATTTGATACGATTGAAGTTTTCATAAATTTAACACAGATAACGGAAACGCTTCTCGTATCGATAAGCCATATCTAAAGAGGGTAGGACCACTTCACCTGTACTGAATTATTCCCTAGTGTGAAATTAGCATTGAGAGTACTCCAGAGAGCTTTAGAATGATCGTCACCAACTCTTCCCGGGCTATTGAGCCAACAGTTAATACCAACTACGAAGGCAGCCCGTTACCAAAGTACCAAAACACCATAGAAATTCCCAAAAGAGTAATCACCAAAAGAGTCCATTCCCACATAAAGCAATCGTATAAATTTTCAAGGCAAAATACGTCGTGGCAAAATAAAAATTTCAACAAAAAATTTTCCAAAAAAAAACTCATACGAAAAAATCGAAGCACCCAAGCAGATAATAAACGAAAGTAAAAAAAAAAATTTTTTTTAAAGTAAAAATCCCCTC